CTTCATAAACAGAGCAGGGACCCTTCAGCCCTCTCTGGGGTGATTGTGTGTCTCTGACCCCAGCAGCCTGGGCTGAAGAGGAACCCAACTCTGTGGGGGTCAGGTGGGGGAGAAGAGATTCTTTGAGAAGCCAGAAGACCTTTGTGTCCAAGGGGAGAAGAGAAGGTGGCCAATTCCCCCAGGATTTCAGGAGGAACAACACCCCCCTTCCACAACAAGATGCCACTCAGATTAACTGGCTTCTAATGCTGAAGATTATTTACTGCAGATCACTGGGCTTTTTGTTTGTAGTAAACTTTAATCACATAACAACACAAATGAGTAGGAAAAGGTTAGCTTAAACTTGTATCCATCAACCAAAGCTTTAGTTACTAGTCAGCTTTATTATCAGCTAACATATTCGTGAAAATGGTTGGCGGCCAGGAGAAAATTAATACTGGGGCTTAAGGAGACCTTGTGTACTGTTGGTGGGAATGCAAACTGGTGCAGCCACTATGGAAACAGTATGGAAGTTCCTCTAAAGTTAGAAATAGAAATACCATGCGATCCAGTGATTCCACTACTGAGTATTTACCCAAAGAAAACTAAAACACTAATTAAAAAAGATATATGCATCTGTATGTTTATTGCAGCATTATTTACAATAGCCACAGTATGGAAGCAGCTCAAGTGTCCATCAATAGATGAATGGATAAAGACTATGTGGCATACACACACACACACACACACACACACACACACACAATGGAGTATTATTCAGCCATGAAAAAGAATGAGATCATGCCATTTGCAACAATATGGATGGATCTAGAGGGTATAATAAGTGAAATAAGTCAGACACAGAAATATATCATATGATTTCATTTATATGTGGATTCCAAAAAGCAAAACAAATGAATACACAAGAAAAAGAAACAGACCCATAAATACAGAGAACAAACTTGTGGTTGCCAGATGGGGATGGGCACAATAGGTGAAGGGGAGGGGACATTCAGGCTGCTAGTTATGGAATGAATAAGTAATGGTAATAAAAGCATGGGGAATACAGTCCATAGTATTATAGTAACATTGTATGGTGACAGATGGTGGCTACAGTTGTGAGCACAGCACAAATACAGAGATGTTGAATCACTACGTTGTACACCTGACACTAAAGTGACATTGTGTGTCAACTATACTTCAATGAAAAATTAATTACAAATAATAAAAGATTGGAATCCAAATGGGATGAAGGGATATATCATTGCACACTAAGATGGGTTTCTGCTGGGTAAGTGGGAAGGAAGGCTCAGGGACAAAGTTGCTTCCTTCTCAGGTCCTTGAAGGACAGCTTTATCCAACCCCAAAGCAAGTGGTTCTGCCTTGTCAGGAGTGCGAATGCCCTCTCTGCATTGCAGAAATGGAGATGATGTAGTTCTGAGAGGTACTTTAAAGGTGAATTGCAGGGGCGCCTGGGTGGCACAGTCGGTTAAGCGTCCGACTTCAGCCAGGTCATGATCTCGCGGTCCGTGAGTTCGAGCCCCGCATCGGGCTCTGGGCTGATGGCTCAGAGCCTGGAGCCTGTTTCCGATTCTGTGTCTCCCTCTCTCTCTGCCCCTCCCCCGTTCATGCTCTGTCTCTCTCTGTCCCACAAATAAATAAACGTTGAAAAAAATTAAAAAAAAAAAAAAAAGGTGAATTGCTGGCCCAAACGTGGCCCAGGCAAAAGAAGATGGGACAGGTTTACAGGGTTCACCAAGCTCTACACCAGGATTCACTCAGCATTTAGGAAACATAATGGGAGAGTGCACAAAATGGGAGAGAAATTCGATTTGCCTCATGATCATCCACATTGGTGGTGTCAGTGGTGTGCATGTGTGTGTCTGAGTCAGGGTGGGGAAGACATATCCCAGTACCTTTAATTCGCTGTTAATGGATTGTTAGAATCTCTGTTAACGGATTCCTTGGGCAGAAATTTACCATTATTAATCATTTGCATTTATCTGAAAGCCCAATGAGTCTGCTTTTCTAAGCCAGCTTGGTGAGAGCATGGGGAAGGTGGCCCAGAGTGCCCTTTGGAGTTTCACCATAAGTGATGGGCCACTGGTTGTGAAGAATCACATTGACACAGAGCTGTCAACAGTTGATACCTGAGCTCATGGTTGGGCAGGGGAGGTGGCCCAGCTGGCACTGGCATCCTGGAGAAAGAGGTGGAGGTGATGGAGGCAGTCCTGGGAAGCTTATGACTAATAAGCAAATTGTGCCCATGACAGGAATCACTGAACAGAGTCAGACAGGGCTTGTAGCCCAGAGAAAGGTGATTTGGTTTCCTGTTTCCTCAGTGACAAAAGAAGAACAAGGTAGTGGGAAGTTGAGAAATAAGTTGTTTAGCAGGAAACCTCATGCAATGTTTGAGTCCACCAAGGAGACCTTGGCTCACCGATTGAGGCAGATCCGGCCGCTGAGATTTCCGGGCTATAAGGGTGACCTGTCTGAAATCTGCTTCTCTACTCATGTTCTCCACCCAAGGCTCCTGACTTTAGCCAAATTCCTCATGTTTGTGACAAAATTCCTAAAGGGAGTGGAGAGGATCTGGAATTGGGCAGTTGGTTATCTAGCATCTGAACAAAAGAGATTATTCCAATGGAAAAGATTTCCCCATGCCTCCCTCCACTTGGGAGGGTCCAGATACTAGCCTTTTCTCTGGCCCCCTGATATGGGGAATTCAGTCTAAATTAAAATGGGGTGAAGAGGGCATGGAAAGCTACCAACACTTACTGGGTTCCTGTTGGGTGTCAGTGTGAAGGGAAAAAGTCATCTTGAACCTGGAAAAGACAAAATGGTGGTTGCTGAAATCTTTGATCTCATGCTAGAGTCTCTCTGAATAGAAGCAAGATCTTACTCCTTGTTAATCTTCCATCAACTGACACTTTTGGAAAATGTAACATGGTCAGCACAGTATATTTGCTTAATGGATAAAGCTTGACGTGGTGCTATGATTTCATAGTCTAGTAGAGATGTTAAGCCCCTGTCATGGTTTTTCACCCCATTGAAAGTTGAGTCCTCTATCTAACTGAAGAGTCTTACTTAGGCATTCCTTTCCTGACTGTATATAATCTCCAATACTCTTCAAATCAGCTTTTAAAATTCTTTGCTGATTCTCTCATTAATGAATTAAAACAAGAATTTTGACATGCACCTGATATATTTGCTGATAATTGTGGTTTTCAGCACTAGACTTTATGATAGTTTATTTCATTCATGTCTTGTAACAACGTCTTGAGAGGTAATTACTAGTTCCATTTTACATATGAGGAGATTCAGAGAAGTTAAGAACATGACAAAACTTATTAACTTGGCAAGTGGCAGAGCTTGGATCCCTGAATGTCTGCAGGGAAGAAACACTGGTTAAGACCCAGAAATGCTCTTTTCTAGTGGGCTTCCACCCTGAGATTGCAGAAGGCCAGCCTTTCCTCTGCTCTCTGGCCTCTTTGCTGCCAGGTCTCTGCTATCCAGGGTTGACACAGCAGGTGTCAGAATGAGCTTTTCACCTGGGCCCCTCTCCTTTGTCCAGGACATCACCAGGCATGCCTCAGGGCCTGAATTGCCTGGTTTTTTAAAATTTTTAAGTTTTAAATTTTTTTATTTTCTGGTGTCAGCAATCCTCCAGACATCAACAATAGAATAAGAGGATTAGCATCTTGATCTCCCGAAGCATTTAGGGGTTGTTCCACTGACAATTCTCCCTTCCTCCTGGGTTGGGTAGCCTTTTCCCCAGTC